CAACGCCTCTGAGGTAAGACAATGGTTCTTTGTGTTCATTCAGCAGTGTATGTCCTTTCCCTCATTATTTTCTAAATACATGTTACTTACTTGTGATTACTTACCTGTGCATGGACTTCAACTTCCCACTTGTGATTTGTAACAGATGTTAACTTTCATTTAAATTCTTCATCGCACTGGGGGCGATTCTGGTTGCTGAGAATCTAAACATTTAGAGCAGAAGTTCTTCTGAAATAGACAGACTTTTTGCCCCCCAAACCTATATCATCAGCAGTGGCTCCAAGGAATCTAATCCTGGTGTTTTGACAAGATTTTCATCTAAAACACAGATCCACAATGCTGTCAGCATTGTGTCTTGGTTTTTAAAACCCTCGAAGTAGCACGTATTTCACCAGTACGCTTGGCTGTATAGACATCTTTCTGTGCCACTTGACTTCTTATCCATAATGTTTTAAATGAGTTATAGTGAAGGATGTGCTATATTAGCATAAGCTTTAAAAGAAAAAAAAAAAAAGCTGTTACTCAGCTTGCACCTTTTTCTGAATGGTGTTTAAGAATACAAGCTAAAATGGGTTTGAAAAAATCTTAAGCTACTGATCAGTCTCCACATTTTCAGATAATTAATGTAACATTATTTCAGTGGAAAAAATTACTGCCAAGTTATAATTATAGTCATTATTCTAGCATTATACTGTTAATTGCAGCAAATTAACTTTGTGTAAGTGAAAGACTTTTCAGACAACAAACAAAATGTAATCCTTTACTATGTGCCTGTATTAAAGTTCTAATTGAGTTCTAACCAGTAATAAGGTATTTATTAAAAAAGTACGTATTTTAGGGAGACTGGCCAAAAGCAGTGGACAAAAACATTGTTTTATAAAGAATTGAAAGTAAACATAAATGTATACCCCTAAGCTAGTGCGACAGTGGTGTTTTCAGTAACCTAGTTCTGCTCAAGAAAATCCTGAACACTTGACAAATTAAATGCATCTGTCCTGCTGGAATGCTAGTAATATTTTTACGTGTTTGCTGCCTGACTTCTGTTCATTCTAAAATGTCTTCAAGCATTTCAGTTTAGTTCTTTGCTACTCTGTGCAGGAAGCATTATGTTTATGATGGATTTTAAGTATTTAGCGCTCCATTTCAGCTTCTGTGTATTTAACAGCTGTTTTTCATCGTAGGAAGATGGACTTCTGAACACAACCTTATGTCAAAACAGCTTTCCCTTAGCAGCAATGAATCAAGCTGTTAATTCTTCATTCTAGGAAGAGGCAGTCCCTACTTAAGAAGTTTTCTAAATTCTTTCCGGCCAATTTTGGGAGGGTGTGGATTGAGAGAGGGTTTTTTTCCCTATTTAGCTTCAATTTTAAACAGTGAATGTACTTACGATGGGGTATGTTGCTTTTCTCATTGCAGCCCCTGACGTTTTTGAGTCTAGGAAATGCATATCTGGCTCTGAACAACGTTAGTGGAGCCTTGCAGGCCTTCAGACATGCGCTGGATTTGACGACCAAGTGCTTGGAGTGCGAAAGCAGCCTGAAGATGATCCGCTGTTTGCAGTTTTACCCTTTTCTGTACAACATCACCTCTTCTGTGTGCAGTGGTAAGCAACTGCTGAAAGATGGGCCACAAGTGAAATAGCATCTTTTTTCCTTGGGTGTTTTACTTGAAATTACCCACGCACAGTAATAACTTTTGGAGATGGATTCTTTCATTTCAGTGAATCCTAATTAATATTTCAAGTATTTTGTCTATACTTGCATATGGCTAATATGCTGCTCATGAGCAATCTTGAGGAACATTTATGAATATATTTTTTAATCCCTTCTCTCTCAAATTGTTACTAAGGTATCTTTCCATCTAATCTTCCCTTTGTTTTTAAATAAAAACTTCACATGAGAGAAATGCTTTTGGTTTTTAATACTACCAGGACTTCCTCTGAAAATTTTTTTTTTTTTAATTCCCTCTCCAGTGGAATGACATGGAGAAACCTCCTGTGATTTAGCATCTAGAATTACACCGTCTAAACATAGACTAGAGGCCATCATATCTCCTGGTACAATATGCATGATGCCATTGTAGGTGAAATTCCAGGACTATGCCATTAGCATAATACTATCTTTTATGGCCTTAAGAATTTTTGCTCTGATTGACAGCACAGCAGTTGTGCAGAGAAATTAATGCTGTTTGGCAAGATGTAGTGTTTTAAATGGTATTATGGCCCAGCTGATGGGTCTCTTGCTGATTTCCGTGTCAACTCTTAGGCTGATACCTTTAATTGAATCTCTTAACATCAGATTGCCCTTCTCTTCAAAATCCCTGCGGTTACTGTAAGCAGTACTGGCACTTGCACGTTTCATCGCAGGAGACGCTTTCTCTGTTCTGGAAAAAAATAAATGCAGTGTTTGTTTACTTTTTATTAAGATCATCTTTAAAAATGTCTGTAACTCATAAGGTTAAAGTTGTTCTAGTCAAACCTTAATGACAGACTCTCTATTTTGAAGTTAAGCAGAAATTAATTTAAAAGTATATTCACAGAACTGAGATAGTGAGGAGTAATGGCTATATTTAAACCCCGAAGTGATATTTTACATATTTATTTTCTTTTGTACTATTCCTTAAACTTGTTGTAATACTTAAAATTATACTCCTCTAGTTTGGCAGATTCTTGGCTTATGTTTGCATTGATTCCTGATCCAGGCTGTTAATTTTGAGGTCAACTATTACAGCATACACTGTTTAGGAAGTTTGTGTTTCTTGAGGAGAAACCTATATCAGAAGTGCTTATGAGATAAGTGTTATTTTTCCCTTTTTGCTAGCTTGGCCACAGGTTAACAAAGTGAGTGTCAATATATTGATGTAGTACGTTGGGGTGGTTCTTGTTTGTTAAGGAATCTGTGAAGCTGCTAAATCAAAAAGAGAGAGCTGAATATACCGTGGCATGTTAATTTGCTCATTAAATTTCAGTCTTTTGGTAGTTAAGTATTTTACTCTCTATTTATATTTTTGCCCTTTTCTGGGACTCTTCCTGTCTTAATATTTCTTTCTTTTTCACTCCTATTTATAATATTCTTTAGGTCGTCTTTTGTCTGAGTGCAAGAAACCTGAAAATATGAACCTGACAAAGAGTGTAAATGTTCTTCGTACATTCTTGTGCAGAGTGTAAAATAAACATACTGGTTAATTCAACCTTGATGATCTGTGGTTTAAGTCAAAACTCAGAATTCAGAAACGCGAAGTTAGGTATGCCTGTCTTAGTTTCATAAGGTTTGGGGAAATACTTTTTTTCCCCCACTGTATATTTCAACTGACTTGAGAAGAAGCATGACAGGCTGTATGAAAGTGAGGTTAAGTCTCCAAAACCAGAATTACTTAAGAATGCATACCCAGAAATCACACTTCATACTTACAAGTATCCTGAAATTTTGGCATTCTTCTGTTCATCCTTCAGTCCAAAGAAAACAGTTGAAAAGAGATTGTAAGTTTGAATTTTGACCTTACATACCTAATGCAATAGCATATACAATTAGTCAGCTTCTACATAGAACCTAAAAAAATGCAAACTGCACTTAGATGCTAATATTTAACATTACCTGTTGCACTTAGAGCATTTGTTAAAATGTTACTATCATGTAGACTTACAAGATTCATAAAGCAACATAATCTGCTCTCTTTTGGTTTCATGACAGACCGGAAGGCACATTTTGATGACAAGATGTGAACTGAACGTCACTTTCTCACACCTTTCTGAATGGGGCTTTAGGTATAGAGCTTATGCAGCACACGTGTAAATACGTGGATCAAATGTAGGCTTGACAACCCCAGTATCGCTGGATTGTTACTTCCAGAGATTTGTACAGCCTTTCAGATCACATGTTGCTGCCTGGGGACATCTGATACTGTTTGTCCTCCTGTTATAATGTGCTTGATGGCCCCTTGTAACTATTTACATCTCTCTGCTTTGAGATGGATGTGTTAAGATGAAAAATTTACAAAAAAAATGGAATGTCAAATGCTGTCTCTGGTTTAACATCTTGTTTTGCTAAGCATTCATTCAGTATTTCCAAAAGTAATAGCGGTAGGGCTGCCTCTGCTTTGGGTTGAGGCCCATGCAATAGCTGTGGTTTTGCTTCGCCTGTCAAAAGCCTCTGTTCACAAGAACGGAACTAACTAGTGGGACTCGGAGTTCCTTGCTCTGCTCCCGTGAGCCATCAGCAGAATCCAGCAAATGGTCAGTGGGAGTTATATGCCAGCATGGGATGGAGTATGGGATCAAAAATCTGAATTATAGTCTGATTTTGGTTTACAGTATGTGCTTGGTGTATATTTCAAATAGGTGAAATGGTGTTTTCTCAAGCATGTTGGTACATTTGCTGTTAGCACAGGACTTTGGAAGTGTGATACACTAATGCTGGCTTGTTGGATGCTTTCTTACGTGCTCCTGTCTGCGCTGCTGCCTGTTAACTTTTTTTTTCCTAATTTACCTCTCTTGTAGATAGAAACTTGTCTTTCAAACTCAAGTCACTTCCCAACCCAACATTTTTCTATTTAACTTCTGCCTCCCATATTGATTTTTTATATAAATGTTTGGGTTGGTTGTATACATATTTCTAAATCTGCAGAGAGGGTTTGGTGAGGTTTTTTTCGTAGGGAGGAAGTATGTGAAGCATCCAAAATCTGGTGCAACTGTATCACATATGATGTGTATTTTAGACAACTGCAGGAGTTTGGTCAGTTGCAACTCATGGGGATACTATACAGGAACAGTGCTGCAGTGCTTGTTGCTCCATTACTTACACCAACAGCCCACATACTGCCTTACTCCCAGATAACTGAGAAGATGGTTGGGAGACTTCACTGATACGGGATTATCCTGTGGTGGTCATTCTAGAGGTGACTTGGCAGTGTTAAGGGTGTTGCTACTGTATGTTATGTTACTGGCAAGTCAGTTCCTGAAGCATGTTAAGTAGCAGAATCTTTATGTTGCTTGACAAATACCTAAGCAGCCATATCTGACACACAGATAACAGGACCAAGGCTTTAATGACGAGCGTAAGAAACCTAATGTGAGAAACATGGTCAGCTCTCAGAGCTGCAGGAATGAGATACTTCGGCTTTGCGTGGCTCATTAAGCCAGCATTATTTTTGTCTGATATTGAAATGGTGCATTGCCAGGATTTGGTTTGCACAACTTTATGGCTTAAAAAATTGCAAGTAACTTTTGTCATGTGATAAGGTCTGTGTGGCCCTTCATTGGCTGATGCGAACACCCCGATGTTGTCAAGCCGTATTAAAAAGGTTATGGTATACTAGAAGCATATTTTTAGTGTCGTGGTCAGCTGGCCATTGAAACATGCTGATTTGTTAATTGCTGTTTGCATAGGACTTTCCTTATGTGTGTAAACAGAATTGCTGCTTGGACAAGAAGTACTTTTATACTCAAAATATTTTTATCTGACTGTGAGCATCTACATCTGACCAACAGTTCCAATTCATTATGAGTTCATGCACCTCACGTTCTTTTAGACAAGATCAAAATTCAAACTCTTAAAATTTATTAATAGACTGATGGTATTCAAAACATAAAGCACAACTTGTTTCAAGCTTCAAGTTCCTTTAGTCTCACTGTCTTTCATTATTTGGCAGGATATTCCTTTTTCAAAAAGCTTTGTGCTGCTCTCTTGGAAGTAGAGGCATTGTGACTGTATTATGAATGTATATGCATGTCATCAAGACACCTGAATGCTTTGCTTTGATGTAGTCAATATGTATGATTGTGAAAGCAATGCATACTTCCTAACTTTATGGCTTAGTGATGCATACAGCAATACCATCACGAGCTGCTTTTAAGTATGGTTCTAGTGCCCTCTCGTGGTACAAATACCTTATACCACATGAAAACAAAAGTTTTATTTCATCTACTTCCTCTTAAAGTAAAACATGGGGATTTGATCTTTTAAGTGTATGGATTTTCCTTTGTCCCCCAGCACTGAAGTTCTTACAGAGTTAATAAGCTTAGAACTTTAATCAAATTGACCTGAAGAGGAGAGGTTGACTTGCAAGGAGGATCTCTGCTTGAAACTCTAATAGTAAGCTTATGGACAGATTAAATAACTTGCTTAAATTAACATCACATTTTAAGCCTCTGACTCAGCTGCAATCACTTTGAGTTCCTTATTGCAATTTCAGATACACAAACACTGAGCAAAAGCATAGCAAACATTTTCTTTACACTAGTGTAGTAACAGGGATGTGAACTACTTTGCATTTTTAAATGCACCTTTCACTAACTCAGTAATCCCCTGACAAGCTATCAAGACTTGATGGTCGCAGCAAGGGGCTGCTGTATTTTGATTCCATTTGCTATAGCGTGAGGTCATTTTAGACCATTTTTATCATAGTAGCATTTTAGTTTCCTCCTTCTCAAGCTGCTGTGTCTTGTTCCTCCAAGGAATGCTCATCACTTACAGTGTTAATAGGTGGAAAGAGGGAATGTTTACTCTTGGGTTGAAGGGTGTTGAGCTTAGCTCAGAATTTAATCTTAGTTTAGTTGACACAAAGGCCAGAATCTATGCCAGTTGTATGGGATTCTGAACTGAATGC